TGTGTGTGTGTGTGTGTGTGTGTGTGTGTGTGTGTGTGTGTGTGTGTGTGTTTTGTATGTGCGTGTGTGCATGTGTGTGCATGTGTGTATGTGGTGAAACACAAAACCAATGTGCCAGGATCTGGACAACAAAGATGTATCTTATCTTAGATAGAAGTGGAAAGCAAATGAAGTAGACACTTTGGAGTGCTAATGCAGGGTAGATAATAAGGCATACATACACATGCACATATGCAAATGAAATTGTGTAGATATACCGCCCCTTTCATTAATATAAGTTTAAAAGGACCAAATATTACCACATTTTACTAATATAACAAAGATAGTAAAGAGTTTTAAACTGTGCTATCAAATTTGAGACAAAAGTTTCTTTTCTATGGATACAGCGGCCATATTGGATTTTGTTGACATGTCTTACGTAATGAATACCGCACTTATTGTTCATTGAAATTGATTTTTTGTGCTCATGTTAGCAAACATTAGGTCTAAAAATTATTCAGTTGATTTTTTTCCTAAACGTATTAGACATTTTTTTAATGAATTTTTTTCCTCAGGTAGTATTCAAGTTTGCAAAAAATTCGTGAAAAACAACGCTCCAGACACCACAAGCAAAAATCTATTCCATGTATCAATCATTCAATAGAGACGAAACTTTAGTATCACATCGTCTCTTCATTTTGTGAAAATTTCACAGAGATTGGATAAAAAAATGTTGACGTTTTTAAAAAAAGTATAGAGAAAAATCGCGTGTTGAGAAAACGGCCGATAAAGAAAAATAAAATATTAACTTTACGAGGAAATGGTGGTGACAAACATGTCCGGTATGGGACGAAATAAGGTATTTGGGGGTTCTTAAGCAATGAAATAGTTGTAGGAGAAACGGAGGAAGCAAAAAATGCCTGCAACTCAAATTGCAAAATGTTGAACCGAATCGGGACTTTGGAGTGTAGTCCCGCCTTAAGATATTCTCAGCAGTCTCCTAAGAAACCACGTTCTATTGCTTCGAAGGTACTACAAAGAAAAAAATCAAATTACTTACAAAAACATTTCCTCTATTCGACCAGAAAGAGCTGCATAAATGAGGAAATTCACCGTTTAAATCATTAAAATCTTACTATAAATTTAAAAAAAAGTTTTCAAGGTTCAAATTAAATAAAAACGTAGGGAATTTCAAGTAGCTTACAAAACTCGCGAAAAGCAGGACTAATGCACATACTCAATGTTTGTATTTTTTTGAAGTCAAGGACATTAATAAGGCATTCAAAGACTAAAGAAATCCTCGGGCGTATAATTCCGGTTCTGCAAACCCATAAAAATGTTTCGAAATGGCTTTTTCAGTGTACAAATTTGGCTTATTATTTAAAAAAAGGTCAATTTCAGAGGCCAGTTGTTTGAAATGTTAGTAACCAAATGTTCAATACTTTTTTTGGGTCTTTTCAGGTGTCCTGGAAACTGTGTTTTTTTTCCCGAGGATTATCAAGGAGGGGCCCACATGGCCTTCTTCAATTACTACAAGTACTTCAAGTATTTAAAAAAATTATCATTTTGTGAAGTCAAAACTTTGTGATGTTGTTGATCTAAGCATTGTGGCACGAGTTGATGGAATTCTTGAGCATGTGGAGTTATTGGTAACATCTCAAAGCTGATTTATTTGCCTTGCTTCTAATGAAATAATTATCCATCTACATGTATCTTAAATAGAACTCAAGAAATTCGTGATTAAAGGAAGTGAGACCGCTTGGTTTCAGTGGGGGAAATTAGCGAGAATATGGCTGCCAAAGTTTGGTAACTCCAATAGCTAAAGAGTCCTTCAAAACAGAAAATGACATATTTTGTACCTTTAATCGGGGTTTGTCAATAAAAGTCACATGGAAGTATGTTTTTATATGGACATAAAAGAGGTTAAACCAAAAAATTAAAATTATATAAAAATTTCCGAACGACGGAAAAAATGCTTGTTTCTCCGATTTCTTTATTTTGACGAGCACCCGATTTTACCACGCTGCAAGCATAGGACAAAGAGTGTTTGAAGTATGCTATCGCGAAAATAACCGAATGACTCATTTCGCGTTTTGGCAAAAGGAACGCATAGAATACATCTTTGTAGGTGTAAACTTTCATAAAATGATAATCATTAGAGACTTAAGACTGCTATTTCATTTATTTTAATGTAATTTAGCATGCTGAATGCACAAAATGACATTGGATTTAACATACACATTTTAATACTTTTAAGCTTTAGGCAGGGAAAAGTTCACCATTCTGTTTATAATTGTGCTCACACTGGTACTGGTATAGTTCACATCTTCAACAGATTATCTTGATAAAAATAAGAAGACTATATAACATTATTGAACAATAATCACGAAATCAGAAACAGCTCATTACTTAAAGTGACAATATTCTAGATACAGAACGAGAAGAGAGAGAGAGAGAGAGAGAGAGAGAGAGAGAGAGAGAGAGAGAGAGAGAGAGAGAGAGAGAGAGAGAGAGAGAGAGAGAGAGAGAGAGAGAGAGAGAGAGAGAGAGAGAGAGAGAGAGAGAGAGAGAGAGAGAGGAGAAGGGGCGGGGGGCGGGAATTTGATGTAAACAGATAGATGTGTTGATGGATAGATGGATAGATAGATGGACAAATACATATAGAGATAGATAGATATATCGAAGTGGAATGCATATTTTTGAGGAAGTAGAAACATTAACATTTGCACGTTTTGAAAGTCCATTACTTGATAAGGTCACATTATGGACTATAGATGTTGATACTCGCTGATAACCTCCTTCGTGATGAATAGTGCCTCTCATCTAAATTATTAAACATTCAAGAATGGTGCATATCACCGGAAGCTATAAAAATTAGTTTTTAGTTCGTCAACCGCATTTCTGGATGCAGTTGTTTTCAACATCAGCAGACGGAAACGTTGGACCTGGCCTATTGCCATGAGAGATTCAATACATTATCTGCTTTTGATAGGAATTGTTTTTGGTCTATACAAAGAAGGTAAGTAACAGAAAACAAGATATAAACTTTTATTTTCTTCCGATTCCCATGCACTGACATAACTTTTAAAAGACACAATAATGTTCAATTTTCTTTCTTTTTTCTTTTTTGGCATCGTATTTTGCATAGTTCCATAGCTGATAAAGGAAGGGCAAAATCACCCATTGGTTTGCTACTGGATTTATACGTTTGTGTTAAATATAAATAATCTCTTACATATTAAAAATAAATCAAGAACAATACGACAGAGAACCACAAGAGCCATCAGAGTTAATGGGTGCAGTCTACTTGGCAGTGGACCTGCACATAAAAAGTAATAAAAATACAAATGTAGTTTTACGTCGATCAACATCCAGTCTTACTTATCAAAGTGGTGAGAAACTGTAGTGGATTTTGTTATATCCAGATTGCTTTTCCTTATTTGAAATTTTATTAGAATTCTGAGTATCACCAATCCTAAAAATAAAGGATAATTTCAATGACTGAGTTCCTTTACTTGAATGCTGGACACAATTCTTGGAAGTAAGTCTAACAATCCTCGGTCACGAAGTAACAGCTATAATTACTACCAGAGTAGCCAAAATTGACGGAATGTATACTTATAAGGTCGATAAACAAAAAGTCAAACTAATTTTTAAAAAAATCAATCTATGCACATATGTT